TCCCTACACTTACCTCCAGGTCTGTGAAAAGCCCTTGGTTGTTCTGAAGTATGGCATACATACAATGTGCAACTGTAATCGCATGCTTCCAGTTGTGATAGGGCACACGGCGATAGTTTTTCTTTACAGACATAGTAAAACGACACAGCTTTTCAAGTTCAAAGCTTAAGAGAAGAGAAATTGGTAAGAGAAAAGGAAACAATGAAAATATTTTTTAGTCACCAACCCCACCCCCAACCTCCCCAAAAACAGCAACACTACTCTTCAACTGGGTCCTCTTCCTCATATCAGAAATATGAAACATTTAATTTCCAATAGGCCTAGTGCACGCATGCCTCCTGTTCTTATTCTTGTCTGTAATTATTAGTACGGTAAATCTATTCAAGGAATTCTCAAGAGTTTATATAAAAAGATCCCCAAATCTCATTTCTTTAAGCGAGCATCCATTAAAGCTGACTGAATGATGGATTATAAAAGCTGTATTGAGTCAAACTGAAAAAAAAATCTGTTGGTAAATCAAAAAGACAAGAAATAACATTTATCTCGGGTCAAATAGAACACTTTATTCAACACAAAACACATGGTTTAGGGCACACTTAATTTTTAATTACTTTAAGACAGAATTAAAGGAAATATCAAAACCAAAGTTATTTTGAATAAAAAATTAAATCTTTCATTGTAGAGGTGTTAAACGAAACATTGTTTATGGGTTAAGAGTTTTTTGCTCCTGAAATCCTCAAGTTAACACATATTCACAAAATGTTATTTATTTTTTTCCATCATGCAGTTATCCAAGAACCAGTTACCCACGGTGACAAAGGAAGCTTATGTTTAGATCTAGAATTGAGCCCAAGACACCCGAGTCCAAATTCTGTGCTTTCCCCACAACACCAAACAGACTAAGCTTCCTATACTATCTTTCACTCATGCTGAAATGCCTGGGTATTGTAATGTAAGTCATATATATGATTATTGACCATGTGGTGAGTGCAGCAGTGCTAAGGAGGAAGATTTTAAGGATGAACTGGACATTTTAATCAGTAAGGCTGCTTTTGCTTTGTGTAAATTAATTATCCAACATTACCTGAGTGAACTGCCTTCGTCTCGATTGCTGTTTTATATAATTACAATATTACTTTTAAAGCGTACATGGCCTAAAAACCAAAGCTGATAGGCTCTTACCAATCATATGTATATGTAAACACATTTACTTTATGAAGGGGTTTGGGTTGTAGCTGTGTTGGTCTAAGGACATAGGCAGACAAGGTTCCTTGGGTGAATTTGATATATTTTATTAGACCAACCCAAATGGTTGGAGAATAGTTATTAAGCAAGCTTTCGGGTTCAAAAACCCTTTGTCAGGCTAAGGAAGCTTCAGCAGTTGGTGTGTGCTCTTCCATTAAAAGATATCAAATTCACCCAAGGAACCTTGTCTGCCTCTACTTTATGAAAGCATTTAGACAAAAAAATTCCCACGGTTGCATGCTGAGCAAGGCAATTATTACTGTATTTTCTCACATGTACCTTTCCCCTCAAAATTAGTCTTCCAAACTTGGGTACATGGTATAAGCAGGAAAGCTGATTTTCTGCCCAAAATAGAAGCACCTCACTTTAAATCCTTTTGTACCCAAAGTTTTAAACCAACTACCCTAGAGCACCCTGACTTTTCTATTCATGCAGCTGAGGGAATCGATTGGCTTAAGGGCTCATTGCTCTGCACGCCACAGGTATTAATGACTGCCTTGTTCCATTAATCAAGCTGGTTTTTGTTCTGGCAATTTTTCTGTCTGCTAGCTACTCCTGGTCTCTCTCCTCCCATTTCACAGCCCTACAGACTGTTTTAGCTTTTTTCAAATTCATCGATCTGCCCACGGAAACCAGTCTTCAACAGCAACTACAGTTTGAGCTTCTAGCAAGAAAGAGAGGGTGAGTGATTTGAAGATTAGTCTCTGTCTCCGCTCTATGAAGCCACAACTCTGGGGGAAAAAATTCTTCATTCTGACTTCTCAAAAACAAGGTATGTTTTACTTGGCAGCATATGGTGTGTGAGAAAATATGGTATAGTGTGTGCAGATTTTTTAGCTTTGCATTAGAGAAAGGCTGGAGATGCATTTTGCATTAAAACTTTCAATTTTTTTTTTAAATCCAGAGGTTTAAGTCAGACATTTCAAAACACCTGTCAAAATACAGTTTCAAGTACAATAATCTTCAGAACATAAATATTACAATAATTACTTCCAACGTGCTCAAATACCTGCTTTCTGCTTTTTAGAAGCTAGTAAGGGACAGTTGCCATCAAAGGCAAAATTATCACAGAAAGGACACCTGAATCCAGAATATAACTATTCCCTCCATCATGCCTAGTGAGGACAGTGACAGATTATTCTTGCTGAGGGAAAGCAAGAAACTGAGAGTCCGTTTTCCCCCCCTAGACTATTCCTTGGACAACTGAGTTATACTCTACCTCTTAGGCAGGGGTACAATTCTGGCTTTCAGTCCATTCAGACTCCAATAAAATAGCTATAGATTTTGTTTGTGGGAAATAGAAAGCTTTTTTTTTCTTCATTTTTTAAAAGTACCATAAGAAGAAATTTCAAAAAAAAAAAAAAAGTATTTTGTGTATGGAAAGAAATTAGGCAGAAGCCCCTTCGATACTGAGTGTATTTCTTTAAGTGAACATGAAAAAAAAATACATATATTTGTAATCTGAGGGCTGAGACTCACTAAAACAACATTTCAACTAAGGGCAATGTTCTTCAGGTCAGGTTTGAAACTCCTAGAAAACATAGTTTAGAAGAAAATTAATTTAGGAGTAAATTCAGCCCCAACTTGTGCAGCCTAAAACATTTTTTGACTATGGAAATGATGTGATTTTGCTACAAAAAGGAGGGGTGAAGTTTGTAAACAGAATGGGCTATTGCTCAACCATTTTGCAGTGCAGAGGGAGAAGAGATTTGCTCATGGAAAGGTCAGAAAAGGAGCCAGAAATGCAATGATGTGATCCTGAATCTAATGAAGGAACGTGCTGGAGCAGTGGAGCCACTAAATTGTTTTCCAACTCCCCCACAATCTTGGAGAGACAATAGTTCCTCCTTTCATTCCCCCCATCTGCCTAATTCTGCAGAGACCAAAAAAGCTACAGACTTTTGGCACTAGGGTAGATCTGGCCAGTAAAGATTCTCAACTTGGCAGTGCTAATAGGAAGTTATATAATGTTTAAAAAATATATTATATAATATAGATTTCATTGACATTAGGGCTGGAAGGGACTTCAGGAGATCGAGTCCAGCTCCCTGCCCCAAGGGCAAGAAATCAGCTGGGGTCACAGGATCCCAGCAAGGTAAATGTCCAAATGTATCTTAAAAGAGTCCAGAGTAGGTGCCTGCACCACCTCTGGCGGCAATCTGTTCCACGTCTTGGAAGCTTGGGCTGTAAAGAAGTTTTTCCTTATGCCCAGCCTGAAATAGTCTTGGAGGAATTTGTGACTGTTTGACCTTGTCATCCCTTGGGGTGCTCTGGTGAACAGACGTTCCCCCAGATCCTGATGTATACCCCTTATATTCTTATAGGCAGCCACCAGGCCCCCCTTGAGCCTATCTTTAGAAAAATTAATCAAATCAATTTATTTGACAATCAGTTATTGTCACAATGAAGGTGGAAGTAACATTTATGTAAAGAATCTTGTCTCCTTTGCCTTTTGCCATTTTCCAGTTCAATGCTAGGCAATGTTCTATACTAGAACATATTTTTAAACACTATTTCAACCATATGTTAAACCAGAGGGACCAAACTAATAGTCTGTGGGCTGCATCTGGCTCATTGTGCTGTCACCGTCTTGGCTGAAGAATAGCCTCCAAGATTAGTGTGCCTCCATTAAGAAACAAAGCAATGTTGCTGGCCTCCATTAAGAAACAAAGCAATGTTGCTGTTTATTCCAAGGGCTGCTGTTGGACACCTGGAGTTCTTTATTCTGAGCATTCCTACATCTTAACTCAGCTGGGAAACATCAAAAAATACCTGGGACTGGAAACCTAGTTAGTCTTGAGCAGACCCCAGTAGATCTTAGTAGTAAGATGCATAAAATGCAAGTATTTGAGGAGATTGATCACAATATTAATGGAAAAAGTGAATTATGGAACCAAAATAAAAGCAGTGTAAAATATTTTTAACCATACCAGGCTGTCCCACAGGACTGGTGGACCATGTAGACAAAAATGGCTGGCCAGACATCTTCAAAGGGGCTGATATCAAAGTGGTATCTAACAAAGAAAGTTCAAGTTTAGCAAAAGGAAATATCCTGTTAATCTTACTACATTCATGCTGAGGCTAGTAGATAATGTACTCACCTGATGTGCTAAGGCTACTAGATAATGTACTCACTTGACAGCACTAACCTGTTTCTGAAGATATGTGTAAACTGACTTTTCTGGGCCAGACCTTCAGCTGGTGCGAGTTAATGTAATTCTACTGACTCCAATGGAACTATGCTGATTAATAGCAGCTGAAGCTGACTAGCCTGGCATGATTAAGAAAACTAAAACTGTTTTAAAAAATGTAATCAATCAACCAGAATCTTTTTTATTCAACAAGGATAATGAGGGGATATATAACCCAGTTAAGAAAATCTTCAAACCCAAAGTAATCATTTGCTATGAAAAATGTTAGGGTGGTAAAAGTAAGAAGTTCACTGCTTTGTCACTGGTAAAATTCAATTATTTGTTTCAAAAGTTGGGTAAGGTTTTCTTCGGGCTTTTTTTCAGTCAAATGAGCTTTTACTAGTTAACAGAAAGAAAGTCAAAACTTCAAATGCAAACATTTAATACTGTGTTTTTGTGTTTCACCATCCAACATCTTTTCCTTCACATCAGCATTCACACCTCATGTTAGCAGCCAGTGTGGCTAAGCTACTGTTATAACTTAATCCCTTTCATTGCACCTCTTGTGCTGTTGGTGTTCTGTTTACTTTGCACTGAACCCAACTAAATGTTAGCTTGTGTGGGGTTAAACTGAAGAGCACAGCAGGTGCATTAGATGTGAAGGTAGGTGAATTGCTTGGAAAATGGTTAATGTATTCAGATTTTTCAAACTAAAGGTTTTTATGCAGCTCAGAAAGAAAGGCTGTCATATTTAAAAGTAAAAATCAATTTTGTTGAGGAGGTGGGTTATATAATATCATTTAACAAAGCACCAGAAATTATACTGCACAGAACAGTCCTACACTGGGATGGAATCCTATATGCTGCTGAGCACTTTGACTTTCAACAAGCATGCGCTAAACTTTAAGCAGGAGTAGTCCTAGTTAAACTCATGCACAAGTTTACATATTTTGTAGGCTCAAAGCCATGGTGCTTAACACTTTGCAGCATTAAGTACCCTGGGCTAGATCCCCAAATGACAGGTGTTGCAACTCTCAGCTCTACAACACCTGACTTATTTATTAGGCATCTAGCTCCTAAAGCAGAATTCATAGCCTTGATTTAGGCTCTTAAACTCCCTGTACAGAATATGGGAAGTGTTAGGAGTCTCAGAATGAGATTTAAAATGTCAGCAGGGTGAAGCTACCCAAATGTAGCTACTGGAAACTCTTATCTAGAGTCTAAATCCTGCCCTTCTCCCCTAACTTTTGCCTGTAGGGAAGGACCTATATCCACTTGGGATATAGGTCCTTCCCTAGCCTTGACCCCTACTCTGAAGTTAAGTAATTAGTTCTTTTCTTTAGAAAACTGATGAGAGGGGACGCAACAGGCAAGAGCAGGGGTTGGCAACCTACAGCCCACAGGATGAATCTGGCCTGCAGAGCCATTGGATCCAGCCCATGGAGCTGCGGCTTTGCCCATGCTATGCCACTTTGCAGCAAGTTTTCCCTCACCGTGCCGCAGCCAGGCAGTGGGAGGAAGTAATGCCGGTGCTAGCCAGGGTCTAGCACTGGCCCATCTCAAGAGCCAAGCCAGGCCATTTCTGGCCCACTGTCAGAAAAGGTTGCTGACTGCTGGGCTAGAGCACTTAGGATGTAGAAGACTCGAGTTCAATTTTTTCCTGTGCCTACACGTGTTCAAACCTCTCTTTATCGTCTCCCAGACTAAAGCCCTAACCATTACAGGCTCAACTCAGACATGGGCATTTTCAGTGCTTGTTGAAATTGTTCACCCAGAGGGGCAAAATTTTGATTCTGGTTCTTGCAGAAAGGATATTTTATGCATTATAAGCAATGACTAACATGGAAAATACTTAGAAAGGTTTTGAAGCAAAGACTAGAGAGCAGACCCCCAGCCCCTGAGTGCCCTAATTATTAAGCTATAGCCTCATGCTTACTCTTTCTTATCCTTTGGCTCTATGCATTTTTAATGCATATTTCAACAGCAGATGGTTAAGAGTGCCCCCACACCAGCACTGTCAATCCCGTGGTGGTTAGTGCATTCTCCTGGAAGGTAGGAAATGTGAATTTGAACCTAAGGCTGTGCCTCACACTGGGGAAGTTCTCTAACTACTGAACTATTGTATAAAACTGGGACATTTCCTGCTCTGGCTTTTTTTGAATGAAAGCAGCTGATGCACTGTATTTTGTGGGAGCCTGAGCCTACACATTTGCAATTGGCCTGACAGAACACTCTTATTTGTCTGGGCCTCTCCAGGGACACAAGCAGAGGAATATGTTGTTTGTGAATCCTGACTGAGCTTAGCCATGACATAAATGCCGATTTCCTCATTAGTGACAAGATGGAGAAGCTTCTGTGCATTTGCAAAAGTTTAACCTTAGGTATGTAGTGTACTTTATTAGTGAAAACTTAGGCCTATGCAGACTTTAGGTACCTAATACATCAGACTGTCATTTTGGGAAATGCATTCTTGGGTTTAGGTGTCCAAATTCAGTGGTCAGCCTCCCTATCCTCTTTTATCTCTACATTCTTTGGGCCTGATTTGCTGCTCTCATGCAATGTGTGGTGTTGTAATTTACAACTGTGCAAAAAGCTGTCATTCTGACTAGGTATACCTGGGTCCCCTTAGTTGTACAGTGATAACAAGATCTAACAAGATCTAACAAGATGTTAGGCAGTGGAGAGACAATTTCTGTGACAACAGTGATTTCCATAAACCCTTGGGTACATTGAAAAAAAATATTTTTCAGAAGACAGGTTGTAGCTGCTCCTAAAATGACAAAAGACTCACAATTCTATTTCCTTGCAGATGTGTGGAGGGAGTGTGCAGTGCATGAGGTTTTGCCACTCTTCTGCAGTACAAACACTGTGATAGGATAGCTTTTCCATTGTTACACGATAAATACATTCTGAATGGCGAATTCTGTGATACATCTGAAAGAACAATTGTTATTTATCAATACTGGATTTTAGTGAGGAAAACTGGTCTATTTCCCCAAAGATCAAACATTTATTCTGAAAAAGGCAGGCCATCATTTTCAAAGTGATTTAGGGTGCACAACTTTGCATACCTTAAAGTTCAGCACTTCTTTATTGTTCAGCCCCCTTTAAATGTCTCAAAAGTTGGGCACTCCAGATTATGAATCACTGCTGAATATACCTGGAATATTGGGGGTGCAGTGTTAAGGCTCTCCCCATTTCGCATCTCTACTTCATCCATCCAACCTGCATCATAGCAGGGGAGGTAATGGCTCAAAGTCTCCTTCATTTCCCTGTGAGGTCGGTAGCCAGGGCAGTAGTGGTTAGGGAATTCAATGCAACTTTTTTGTTATTGTGCTAGTCAAGCTATGATTTAGTTTTTAGGAGCTACACTTGGTCTTAGCTTTCTCTTTGTGTTTAAATCCCTACCAAATCCCTCCCAAGAAACATAATTCACACTCACACCAGGGACATCTTTTTGGGTTACCAAACATATTGTTACTGCAAAGAGCAGAAACATTATCAGTCAGCCTCAGGGAAAAATAAATGCAATAATATATTAAATGGTGAAACAGTTATAGAGGCTTAGCATGGCTTGTAAAAGGGTAAAGACAAAACAGCTTTTCATTTCAAGAAAAAAAAAATGGAGGAGCCTGCCCTAATCAGGTTAAAGAAATTCATTTTCCAGCATGGTAAGTCCATGCCTAATAGATCACCAACTGGCCCCGATTCTCTCATTTACACTACTCTAGTTACATAAAGAGGCTGTAAAATGGATGTCCACAGCCAGCATGGAATAAAGAGACTTGAACCAGACCCAATAGTCACTGCATTGTCTTTCTCATCAACAGAATGTGGTCAACAGTTTTTTTATTAACATTTCATTTATTATTTCTTAATGATAATGCATGTAAAATTCCTTATATTTTCTAAATAAAAAGACTTTTTTTAAAGAATAAAGACTGAATCTCACAAATAATGGCATCAGCCCTCATCTTCATGTATGGGTAGTATTATGTTAGGAAAGACCAGCACACAGAAATTAACGTATAAACAAACTGTTTTGAATTTACTTTACAAACCATGTGCTTGAATACAGTTTCTCAGTAACTCAGCTAACCGTAAAATATGTGTAATCTGAAACTGTATAATGAATTAGACTAATGTGTCACATTTCAGCCTATACAGGTGCTACACATACTTTGACTGCAGTATACTCTTTTAATATATACCAATATATCAACTGCACAATTATTTAAGGAGAAAAAAATGAACCCCATCCTCCTATTACATCACAGTTATTTATGAATAGGAACCTATCAAATTCACAGTGTGAGTAGGGTGCGTGGTAGCTCCTTTAAACTTGCAGATTCCCCTGTGCATCCCCCCACCATTGATTGGCAGAGGGGCCTCACTTCTCACCACTGGCTCCTGATCAGCTGAGAGACAAAAACTACAGTTTTAAATAGGGCTGTGCATCCCACTCCCACCATGAATTTGGTAGGTCCCTATTTATGAAAGAATCAAATGATAACTGTTGCTTTGTTATTCAATAAAATAGAATTACTAATTTCATAGTAACTAAGGTCAGGAGGGACCTGAACAGATCATCTAGCCTGACCCTCTGCCACAGGCGGGAATGAATGCTGGGTTCACAAGACCCCAGACAGGCGATCATCCAACCTCCTCTTGAATTGCCCAAGGTAGGGGCCAGGACCACCTCCCTGGGAAGTTGGTTCCAGATGTTGGCCACCCTAACTGTAAAATATTGCCTTCTGATCTCCAACCTAAACCTATTCTCCATCAGCTTATGACCATTGTTCCTTGTCACCCCAGGTGGTGCTGGGGAGAAAAGGGCTCTACCTATTTGCTGTTGATCTCCCCTGATGAGTTTGT